CCCAGCTATATGACAATTTCCTGAACAGAAACATCAATTTGTCTTTGTTATTGGACTAGTCTCAGGCTTCTACCTCCTGAGTGCATGGACTTCTCAGTATTCCAGCACATTCCTTAAAGTTTGACTGACAAATGAATGCAGATGCAAATAATAATAACTCACATGCTGTGTTTCAAATGTGTAGACTACTTTGAGGTAACAAATTGGAATGGACTAATAGATTTACAAAGACATATATTTTTATTTGCACATTTAATATTTGTCCATTTCAAGTTTTACCTATAAGCTTCTATTTGGTCTCATGCTCTCCATCTCAAATCCAATTGGTCTTATTGTATACAAGCATACACATTTCCCTCCTAAAACTATGATAAAACTTATGTCATGTATCAGATAAATGAATGATAGTTGCAGTCTGATGATACATAATGCTTAGGGAAAGGGCTATGGAGTTAAGAATTATAAACTTCTGGACGAAAATTAGCCGTGACATTTTAATTGCTGTTTAGAATTCAAGCTGGTGATGTCATCCTCAATACTTTAAGATTTAAAAGTACAATATACCTAGGTTTATAGCCTCAAAACCATTTATAACCTCTGAAATATATCTTAATTTAAAGAACTTGTTCTTTATCCAAAGGAATTCTACGTTCTCGATGCTAATGAGGTGGGTCAATAGTTAAGAGGGCATACTGCCCTTGCAGAAGACCTTAAGTTTGATTCCCAGCACACGATCAGGCAGTTGACAACTGCCTGTAACTCTAGCTCCATGTTGTCTGATGCCCCGGGCCTCCATAAGCACCTGCATTCACATTCCCATACCAATACACACTCACACACACACACACACACACACACACACACACACACACACACACACACAAATAAATCTTAAAGAAAAAAGCAATTCTGGAATCTTCAATGAAGTAAAGGTTTTGGTTAGAGAAATGCATTTCTATTACTTCCTGCCATGTTTGAGTTCATGTTGAGTAAGCAAATTATTCTTTAACTTCTTTCACAATTGTTTTTGAACCTTGTCATGCAGGCTCATTATTTTATTTATTGACATGTTATAATATGAAGCCATGTACCTTGAGCTACTGAAAGGTTCAAAACCTAGACCTCATTTCTCATGAGATTTAATAACCAATTTGGATTGAATAAGGTGAGAAGGACCTTTTGGAAGCAATTTCATAACTGTCATGGCCATTTAGTTTGGTCATGCTCAAAATAGTTCAAAAATTGAACTATTATGAGTCACTAAAATCTGTGATTTTGGCTGGAAAGGTGACTTGGATAAAACACTGATTGTACAAGTGTAGGTACCTGCAAGTGTGGCAGTCATTTGTCATCCAAGCACTCATGAGACTGGGATCCCCACAGTAAGATGGCTAGGTTGTCCAGCTCATTGTAACCCTGCCTCAATAGATACTGTGGAGAGTAATTGGAGAAGGCACAAAATGATATCAAATTCTGGCTTCCACATGCTTACATGTGCAAATGGATGCACATGCATCCACACAAATGTTTATTCACACACATGCAAAATGAAAACATGTGTACAATACTCATTGAACACATGCCAAAAATGTTTCCTGTTGCATGATTCCTTAATGTTAATGTTTTTCTAAAGTATTTATCTTGTGTTTTTCAGAGTGCTGACTACATAACTGTGAATAACATATTCAACTCTACATATTAGAGTGTTCTGCATTCATGAATTAAACCAACCACAGATCTAAAGTACCATGAAAACAATTGCATCTGTAATGAACATACACACACCTTACCGTTATTTTCTACCCAAGACAGTTTATCAAAGTAAACTACAACTTTCAGATTTATGTATTTTGGAATAATTCAGACTTGGAAAGGCAAAAAAGATGTGTAAATATTGTACGATTTTCAGAGGGTCTTAAGCATCTCCAGATTTTGTCACCTTTGGGCTATGAGGTCCACAAGTGAGGAACTATGGATATTGAGAAGTGATTTTATGTTGTAATGATTCTGCTTTATTATTGGTGCTTGCTAAGCATTCGTTTTGTTAGTAAGGTAAAATAAGCTATGGATGAGTGTGCATGGGAATTTATTCTATTCTATATTTTTTAAAATCTAGGAAGACAATTTCCACTTGAGTAAAAAGCATTTATTTGCATTCTACTTCCTGTGGCATTCTCTTACCCTGATAGAAAAGACTGACAATATACAAATCAGAAAAATTTGCTTCACATTCAAGAAATAAAGGCAAAAATAATTAGTTGCTGTTTTTTGTTTGTTCATTTGTTGATTGATTAGTAACTCATATGAACAATTACTTTAAGATAGTATTAGGTACCAGCAAATTGGGGAGAGGATTCACTGGGTAAACATATTGCTCTTACGCTTGACACCTGAGTTCGATTTCTGGAACTTAAATGTTGGAATAAGTGACCTGACTCTGATACCTTGTTCTCTGTCCTACAAATGTGTAAGGTATTGTAAACACACACACTCACATGCACACACACACTTAAAAATATTTTTACAAGATTATATCATATTCCATTGTATCTTCTGAACAACAAAAAGTAGACAATTCCACGTTCATTTTATTGCTGAGATGTCCCATGAAAGATGTGGCTGATTGATTTATATGGTCCTATATAACATCCTTATAACACAATAACAATAGTTGAGAAAAAATTTCGTAATTTCCTAGAGTTGTAGGTGGATATTTTCATTTCATCCTATAAACATCACAGGAATTTTGTCTTGTTCTTCTCTTGTCACAAATTTTGTGAGCTTGGAAATTCCCTTAACAATAATCTGGCGTGTTTATTCTGTCTAGGACAGGCTATATTTTAGGGAAAGTATTAGAGAGAAATGCAATGATACTACATTCCAGTGACTCCTACCACAGCCAGCCATCACCCAGGTGTCCTTGTTTATTCCCAGAACACTGTACCCACACATCTCCTTTCACCTTACAACCTACACTTCATATTTACTAGTCTGATGTTATTTCTTCATGAAGAAAGAAGCTTTGGTAAGGTGTAAAACAGCGTTTTCCATCAACCAAAACAATCTTATTCTGAGTGTGTTTTGACAGACAGCATCAAAATGTAAAAATCATATTTCTTCCAATCATCTAAGGATGAACACAAATGTGGTTGGAAATTTTTGTCCATGGAATGGAAAGGGGGAGAAAGTTGCTATATGTTATATTTAGTAGAGGGGTAGCATTCATCAATATTTGTGTTCGACTATGCGAGACTCTGTCTCCTTTGTTTTTTTCTTTCATACATTTTCTCCCTAGGAGATTCCATAGGAAACGAAACAAGAATGGACAGAAGTAAAGCTGAGATAAATCTTTAAATATATGAGCCATTTAAGCTAGATTTCCTAAAGACTTTCCACTTTTAGCTACTTTTGACCCCCAAAGTTTTGTATGATCCAAATCTAAAAGTATTCTACATATTCGTGAAAGTCAAAGATTTACTGGTTATAAAACATATAGATGTTTTGTTTAAAATATTATTTTCTATACATTGTCTATATGTAACTATTTATTAAAATATATGAAAAATTTCAATCTAATAATATGAATACGTTTATTTTATTTAAAATTTAAAATTAAGTCAGGTTGTGTTGTCACACATCTTTATCACAGCACTCAGGAGACAGAAGCAAGCAGATCTCTGAGACTGAGATCAGCCCAGTCCACAAAGCAAGTTCTAGGACAGGCCAGGTGGTTACACAGAGAAACTGTGTCCTGAGAAACAAAAAATGAAAAAATAATTAAAATTTAAAAATATTTACATAGGATGTGGAGTAAACTTTTCAGGTTTGACAGGCATTTAGTTACAATCATCAATATTGACAGCACAGTTTCTCATAAACACATCATAGGAAATATTTCAGAAACTGTTAAAAGTCTGTCTTCACCCTATGTCAAAATTCATATAACTTTTATGAAATTGAAGTCAGACACTCAAAAAGGAGGATTTGAAATTGAACATTCTAATCAGCACAATGCAAAGATATTCTTTCTGATACATGCTCAACAATTTTGGTAGGAGCATATTAAAAGTCTGTTTTGATAATTAAATTACTGTATTTTAAAAAAACTTTCTAAGGTTAAAAAAACACTACAGTTTCCAGTACTCATTAGTGTTAAATCTGAGGCAGGTGTTTCTCATAGCAACAGTTACTGTTGTGTGGACTGAGTGTCACCATACATGGTGACAAGTAAGCTTGTGTGTTCAGAACCAATACCACATTGAAATAACTTGGACTCATTGTATGCTTGATTGTAAGTAATTTGGGGTATTGAACATTAGAAAAACTTTTATTACTGCCAGTTTTTTACCCCTTGCATTCAGTTACCTCAAGACCAATATGGTGCCTTGATTCACAATTGAAAAGCCTGTGCTTTAAATAGAGTCAATGGCATTTTAGACAAGATAATTCTTTCTGTAAGGGACCCTTTCGTGAATTGTAGGATATTGTGTTACTGGCCTTTAGAAGTAGATGTCAATAGCGTGTGGCAACTGACGTATAAACTAGTAATATCTGCAGATATTGACAATGTGTTCTGACATGAAAAGTATTCTGGTGTGGAAGATCATCCAAAGACTCTTTAGCCTAAAGATAGTTTATAGTAATAACAAAGAATTGGAGTCTGGCCTTGGGTACCAGTCAGCACTAATGCTTTCCCAATGCTTTGCAGCTTACTGTCTTACAATAAGATTATCACAATTTCCAGAACAAATGTCACTACTACAAAGGACCTGAAAAAGTATCTGAATTTCAAGCATGAAGACTTGTTCTTCAGAGGTTCAAGTGACAAAAACACTTGATTTCAAACCCTTCAAGTGCACAATGGCTAAAATGTTTCCAGAGATCTAAATGTTATTATAACGTATGGATTATATCATGATGTTTATATGCAACACTTGATTGATAAACATAATGTGTGAAGTAACTACTCTTAGTTATTTCTACTGATTCTTCTTGTTTAGAGATTTGGTTCTCTGTGAAGTAAACAGCTGTACTGGTAAGTTTTATATATTCATATTCAACTATATTGTCTGCTATATTCTTTTAAGGAAATCTGTTTCTTAATTCTAAGCACCAATTTCAAAGTGTGGTCTATTTGGATAACTAAAAATAGATGCAGTTTATTCATTTATTTTCAGCTTCTTCTGATTTACATGCAGCATTTTGTATAAAGACATAATTTATGGGTCTTCATATGACATTGCCATGCCATAGATAATATTTCACTTAATTTTATAAAGACTTATGTTTTTAATTTATCTCCACATGCTTTGTTCACAGCAGTTATTCAATGGAATGTTTGATAGTATGAATGTTGAATTTCTAAGCCAACCCATCCAAATTGTGTGAAATTTGTGGCTCTAAATTTAATTATCAATGAATAAATATGTTGTATTTCTTTTTGATGACAGACAGCACATAAAATATCTTACAGTCAATATTGTGCATCCAAAAGAGAGAATAATGTAGTTATATTGGGGGTAATTTTCTTAACAAATAGTGCCAAGCCATTGAGATACAAGTACCAACTAGAACTGAATCATTCGACCATGAGGTATTCTAAATCAAAAATGTTAACTGTTGCAATGTGCGTAGAACCTGTAAGTTAGTGCATGAAATGCCTTACAAATGTACTTGTGGCTCGAGTCATTAAAAATTCATTGGATATTAAGGGTTCTCATCTCATTTGTACATTAACCGGCATTGTATTGCGTGTTCATAGACATATGTTAAGGAGGCGATGGAACATTTGGGGCATGCCCTTGATGTCTGCACCTGGTGTCTGACTCTTTCCTTTGGCTATCTGCTTCTTGGCTACCATGAGATGGACATCTTTGCTCCATTGAACCCTTTCCACCACGATGATTTACCTTACCAATTCTGAGACATAATGGAGCCACCTGGCCATGGGTCGTAGTTTCTTAAAACATGAGCCAAAATAAATCATTCTCTTCTTGAGCTGTTTTCTCAGGCATTCTGTCACAGCAATAGAATCTGATTAATACTATCCAAAACCAACCAGAAAGCAAAACCAACACAAAATACAATCTCAGACATGTTATGTATTTAAATATTTTTATTTTCAGACCCCTGCTACATTAGCCATGGGTCTCAACCACTACAATTGCATTCACTAGATAAGCACTATTTATTATAATGCACCGCAAACCAAGTTATCACATTGTGTTTGTATTTTCAACCTTTTGCCATGTATATATTTGTAGATGGCATGACTTTCAACAGGTAGCACATATCCAAAAATTAGTACTCTAGGCCCGAACGCCAGCCTAAGCTAAAAATTAAGAAACAAGCCTTTCTTGCTAAAGTTTTGGTGTTAAGTTTTTTTATCCATATAAAATGACTAAATTTTGCAATATTCAAAGGACACAATTATTTTTAAATGAAATATTAAGGATTCTAATTTGGTTTAATGTTTGTGAATCCTTAGTTTGACTCTTTTAATTTAAATTTTTTTAAATTTATGAAACAATAAAGATCATCATTATTTTATAGCAGCATAGCACTTGAATATACATCATATACTAAGGAACTTAGAGTAGAACTGTCACTAATAGTATTCTAATTCCAAGCCTACACCTGGTTCCCACAGTGTGCCAGAGGCAGTCTTGTAAATCACCCCTGTCTTTGTATCACATACCGTTCCCATAGAAAAGGTGATTAGGAAATATTTGTCAAGTGGGTGAATACAAAGTCAGAACAGTATCATAAAACAACTCATTTTCAAAATCCTAAGTTAGCTACGAAATATCCTGTAGATATGTCAAAGCATATGCAAGCTGTGAATGATTTATTACCTAAATTAATAATGAGTGGTAATTACATTTAAATGTGTTAAGTCAAGTTGCAGAACTTACAAAACTTTATTTGAATAATGACTGTAAAAATTCCCCCAAATATTTTGTAATAGTTGACCTTGGAAAATGCATAAACATTGGTTGGATGTTTGGAAAAAATATTAAAAAGGGCTAAGAGCCAGTGAGATTATGAGAGTATAATAAAGTCCCCAATTGTTTTATATGTAATATGAAATAAATAAAATTTTCTGCATTGCATGTAATGAATATTGTTGCAGCTTGATGACAAAAGCTAAAAATTAGCAGTCTTTGGGAATAGGGAAAACTCAATATGTAAGAAACTGATCATTCCAAAGTAGGAAACATCTCCATTGGTGTAGGAGTTGTGGATGTTGGGGCATGGCCATGCACGTCATCAAGACATTTCATAAAATGCAATCTCTGTTCCTTACTTTTCAGTGACATCCATACCTATAATGTAGGGCTGAAGAACTCACAGGTCAGATAGCATCCACCACTGAAGACCAGAACTAAAATGGGAACAGGAACGGCTATGTTTTGTTTGCTTTTTTTTTAAATTTACATGATTTGTCAGCTAACAGAGGTGCCAAAAGCAACTAGAAAATCATCACTACTCTATCAGCTTAGAGACATGAGTAATCTTTTAAAAGTGCTATAGACATTAACATATTCCTGTGCACTTTCCCCTGCAATAAGAGAAGGACTTCTAGATGAACTGAGTGCTATGCAGTCAACTCTGTAAGTCCTTTGCTCTCAGAAGACAATGTTTTCACAATAACATTGAATAAAAATAGCACAATTTTTATTTATTTGATCCACATGTCTAAAACATCTAATATCTAAACATTATATCCACATGCTTTTTATTTTTCATGTGTGAATTGAGATTAATATCTGTTGCCCTTCTAAAACTGAAATAATTAAACGATTTAATACATAGCAGATATGAGAAGAATGTCCAGAATATTTCAAGTTCCTTATATTTCATTGTTATGATTTGCAATGTTGTATGTTTTAAATTGGTTATTTTATTTGCTTTTGGTGTTCATGCAGGGATATAGGTGTGTGTGGGGGTGCAAGATACTTTAGGTATGTAGAGGTAAAAGAATAATTTGTAAGAGTCAGTTCTGTACTTTTACCATGTGGATTCTGGGGATGGTCATTAAACTCAAATGGGCATCCAGCCGTTTTTCTGACCCAATGTTACATATATTGAATAGATTGCTGCAAACCCCAAACATTTAAAAGAATAGCATAAATTATTTCTTTGCTTAAACATTATAGCTATTTGTACTATTAGTGAATGCTGATAACTAAGAAAAAAACTAAAGTTTATATTTTATGTTTCTATGAAAATACCATATATACACATGTTGTAATTAAACAAAAATGCAGAATGAGTTGCTTCTTTTAAAGTTATCAAAGCTGAGGTAAACAGTGCCTAACTGCAAAGTATAAAAGCATTTGCAGTAATTTTGAGTATTGTATGTACATGGCTAAAACTTGTAAACGTATAAATCATTTATACTGTATTTCCATAACACAGGTAGTAATTGGTCAATCATTTTGTTTGAGAACATACTTGTTTTTATTAAGGACATTGCTGTGCATTTTTCTCTATTGGTAAGAATATGATGTTTTTGTTGTTCTGAATTCTAACACAATTTGTGTGGCATATAAGTACCCAATGGAGTATAAGCATAGTCAAACTACCATATTTCTTTTAAAACTATTTTATTTAATATGAGTTACTGAGTGAAAACATTTTAGAGAAGAATTACCAAAATCCAGTATAGATTTTGACTGATGTTATAAAATTCTCCTTTCTACGGTTCAATATTCTATTTTACTAAATCCTCTGCTAGGAAATGATTTTGATCTTTTATGGTTCTTTATTGTTATTGATTTCCTTCTACTTCATCTCAGAAGCCAGTAGTTAAAGTGAGAAGAATATCTCATGTGACAAGATCTGTAGAATAGCTTTAGTGAGTTTTGCTACTAAAACATAAACACTATACATTCTAAGTGTTGAATGAAATGGTAACAATGTCTTCTGTAACTTCTTCATTGAGTACACGCTTAAGGATTATTACGAAAAGTGGTGAATGAATTTGCCTTAACTTGCACCACAAATCGCTTTCTACTTATACATTTCATGGCATCATCATAAATCACATTGGCAAATAAATTATATCACTGGTTTGCTAGCATTCTTTAGAAAGGTATTATGAAAGACACAGTTCATGTGATTTATACTTACAATGGATATATGGTTTTAACAGTTCTCCAGAGAGACTATTAGCAATTGTATAGTTGCCTTGCTTTTGAACTCAAGAAAACTGATTTTTATACCCCTGTGGATAAACACTCCTTTATATTATAATTTGCATTTGAATCCACACAGGGATTTATTTCTGCCATATATTTACAGTAATAAGGGGATGTATACTTTATGTAACTATGGTGTTCAGAAATATGACATTAGGGAGGTGATTAAGGTTGCATATAGTCATTTATGCAAGACTAGGGAGTGGCTGCACATGGCCATGTACCTTCTCCATGTCTTGCCATAGAATGTTCTGTGCTACCTTGGGATTTTTAGCAGCAATAAGTCTTCATTGGGTGAAATCCCTGAGTCTTGCAAATTTAGAATGTGAGCTACCACAAACTTTTCTCCCCTTTAGAAAGTTTGTTTCAAGGATTTTGTTAGCAAAAAATCCAAACTAATGTACCAGTCCCCTCAATAGGAAAAAGAGGAAATGCTATTAAAACTATGGACATGCATGCTCCCACTCAAATCACTTCCTATTATTTCTGTGTCTAAAATAATAGTCCTGTAAACCATCATCTTTTCATCCTTTCCCGAACACAATTGTTAGGCTGCTGGGAGGTGGGCCTGGGTGAAGGAAGTTGGTCATTGCAGTATGTCTTTAGAGCTGTGATTCTTTTCAGTTAGTAATCTGTTTTGTTTTTTATTGATCACATTATAAACTGTCTTTCTATTTCCTGTCTCCCATGTCCCTTGCCCTCCTATGATATTCTTCCCTAGTGTTTGGAACGAAGTACCAGAATGAAGCCTCTGAAACTGTGAATGAATCCTTCCTTCCTTGAGTGGTCTATGCCAGCTATTTTGTCACAGCAATGCAAAACCTGATACATGATACTGCTTTTGTAACAGATTCCCACATAGCCATCTTCTTTGTTCATTGCTATTCCCATTTGTGCAGTAATGTCAGCCATCCTTGTAAAGAGTATGAATAAACACTCACTCAATGAAAGTATGGCTACATTGAATAAATATATCACACAGAGCCAACTGTTTTGACTCTATGAAGTACTTAATCTGACCATTTCTACATTTATTTCTCTGTTTTTACTCTAAAGACTCCAGTTAAAAGGGAAACGCCTCATCCTATGTCTTCTTATGTCATGCTGTCATTATTGTCACTGTATCATTTCTGCAAGCATATCAAGACTAATTTTAAAAGATTAAATAAATATCTACTTGTTTTTCAGTGACAATTTGTCCTATCCAAAACCAGCTGAAAAATCATTTGAATAAAAATCAAGAAGTTTTGCATTTATATATTAGAGCATATCTTCCTACTCTGTAGTCACAACTTCGAAGTATGTCCCTCATTAAAAGTAGAGGCAAGAAAAGGCATTAATACTAAACCATCATTCTAAGTTTACACAGACGATGACAGAAATATAATACTCTGTTTTCCTTTTAGATCTCCAACTAAAGACATGGATTCTGAGGAGAAGGAAATTGTGGTTTGGGTTTGCCAAGAGGAAAAGATTGTCTGTGGATTAACTAAACGCACCACCTCCACCGATGTCATCCAGGCTTTGCTGGAGGAACATGAGGCTACATTTGGAGAGAAACGATTTCTGCTGGGCAAGGCCAGTGACTACTGCATTGTGGAGAAGTGGAGGGGCTCAGAGAGGGCCCTTCCTCCGTTGACGAGGATCCTGAAACTGTGGAAGGCTTGGGGAGATGAGCAAGCCAACATGCAGTTTGTGTTGGTTAAAACAGATGCCTTTCTCCCAGTTCCACTGTGGAGGACAGCAGAAACCAAACTAGTGCAAAATAGTGAAAAGCCTTGGGAGCTCAGCCCAGCGAATTACATGAAAACTTTACCACCGGATAAACAAAAACGAATCGTCAGGAAAACCTTCCGGAAACTGGCTAAAATTAAGCAGGACATGGTTTCTCATGATAGGGACAATATGGAGACTTTGGTTCATCTAATTATTTCTCAGGACCACACTATTCACCAACAAGTACAAAGAATGAAAGAGTTAGATATGGAAATTGAGAAATGTGAAGCTAAGATCCACTTGGACCGGGTCGGAAATGATGGGGACAATTACGTTCAGGAGGCATATTTAATGCCCAGGTTTAGTGAAAATGAGCAAATGCTAGACTTTCAACCTGAAGACAGCCAGGCTCTGGTGGACCTGAACGACGGTGAGGTGATGGCTCAGATGGAAGAAAGGCTACAATACTACAGAGTGCTCATCGAAAAGCTCTCGGCTGAAATTGAGAGAGAGGTGAAGAGCTTGAGCTTCGATGGAAGTGAAGATACAGAGGGGAGAGCTGCCTGTGAACTCGAAAACTCTGATTTAGAAAACGTGAAGTGCGATTTGGAGAAGAGTATGAAAGCAGGTTTGAAAATCCACTCTCACTTGAGTGGCATCCAGAAAGAGATTAAATACAGTGACTCATTGCTTCAGATGAAAGCAAGAGAATACGAACTCCTGGCCAAGGAGTTCAGTTCATTTCACCTTAGCAACAAAGATGGATGCCAGTTTAAAGAAAACAAAGGAAAGGAAGCTGAGGCTGCCTGCAGCAGTGCGGAGATTCCTCCACTAACTCAAAGGGCATTCAGCACATACACAAATGACACCGATTCAGACACAGGCATTAGCTCCAACCACAGCCAGGACTCTGAAACAACTCTGGGCGATGTCCTGCTGTTGTCAACGTAACTCGGATGACTTCTTTCTGACCATTAATGATGTTTTGTGTGTTTTAATGAGAAACTCTATTCCATATATAACTCTGTGAAAGAGTAAGCCATGCTAAAATATTCAGTAGTTAATAAAAATACCAGTGAAATTGTTGCTTGTTTTCATATAGTGTTTCTAATTTGACTTTGTTACAGGTTCAAGCAATGAACTATGTATTAGGATTGTAGCTGAAACAATGTACTGGGGAGTGATTGATAATTCCCCCACATGAGGCATGAGAGACATGAACTTGAAAACAATTCTCAACTTTGTTCATCAAACTCTCCACACTGCAATCATGAAGATGTAAAATGAACACATGTTCGTCATTTTTGACAACATTGCATTATCAGAATGTTTAAGTCTGTAAAGGCCCATTCCTATGTCCAATGTGTCATGTATAGATTAATTCAAATCTTGTTTTTTTCAGTCAGACTGTAAAATGTACTGTGTGTGTGTGTGTGTGTGTGTGTGTGTGTTCCTAACCAAGTCTAACATGATCACAAGCTATGCATATGCTCTTACTATTTACTCATTAGATCTTCTATCCACCAATGCTATGTGTGTGCACGTTCATTATTTTGGAAGTTATAGTGTAGGCTACGGAAGAACTCAGTAAAATTTTTATTTATGTCTTCCCAACTCCGTATGTGGAAGGGGAATTTACTGTCCTTTGTGTGGATATAGCTATGTTTTGTTTTCTGGGAGCATACAGAGTAGAAATGAATGTTTATTCTCATATCCTGTCACCCGCTGTCAGGACTTCCCCGGAGCTTAAGACAGCTCAGTATCTTTAAGTTGTTCCAAACTCACTAACGGAAGTTGAAGAAACTGAGTGAATTACCTGGATTCTGTCTTCACTCACAATTATGTTTTGCTTGATTTTAAATAGATGTTTCCTCTCCCTCCTATCCTGTTGATATCCTACTTTCCTTCTCACATCTCTTCTTCTTCTCCCTTCTTAGCAGCTGAGACAGGATGATGTCAGAGCTAAAACAATTAATTTTATTATTTTGCTGTGAATTGAATATTGGTGTGCCTTAATTTTCTGTAGTTGGCCCATTTCACACATCAAGATACATAAAGCAGAAATGTTTGATGTATTTCTAGCATGTACACATTAGCCATTATTCCTAGAATGTTTCTCATTTATGCAAACTGGTACAGCTTTTAACTGTTCTGTCTTTTAAATTTTGTAAGTTTAAAAGATTGTACTAGCTTTATTGCAGACTCAATGTCTTTAATTGGCTCTTTCAAAATGTCGTGCCCCACCCCCACCCTTTACTTGCTTCATGTATCTTTGGGAAGATACTTATATTTCCATAGAGTTTCACATCTGGGAGGCACCTATTATTTTTAGACCATACAATAAAAGTTTCTATTCCAGTGAAATACTGGGTTAAATAGTAAATGATCATGTTCAAATAAATTCCATTTTTAAACAAAAAATGGATTAGTCATTTGTGTGAAGAAAGTTCACCTGGCTAGCAGATCATTAGATCACTAAAGCACATGCTAAACTATTGACATATTTATTGTTACTGAAAGAGATTAAATTCAGAAGATTATCATGTATAATAAGTCATTCAGTACTTGGTTTCCCAAAAATGAAAATTATCTCATTGGATTTTGTGTTTAATAAGAAAATAACTTTATCTAAATTCAAAAGCAGGTATTATAAGAATTGCTACAGAGTTTCACTTTAGGAACTTCTAATTAGCTAACTACTGTTTTCACAGTTACTTATAGTGGTAGTGTCAAAGGTGAAATTCTGCTTTGTGTGTGTGTGTGTGTGTGTGTGTTTGTGTGTTTTTCTAGACAGGGTTTCTCTGTAGCCTTGAAGCCTTTCCTGGAACTCACTCTGTAGACCATGCTGGCCTTGAACTCACAGAGATCCATCTGTCTCTCTGAATTTTGCTGTTAGGAATGTTTAAAATTTCTTTTAGAGTGCTGACTTTCTCAAACTTATTGTAGAGTTTGCATTTTTCCTAATTATTTCTATTCTTGGTCATTACATTAAGTCATACAGCTATTAATTTCCACAGTGAAACCCTAATAGAATTAAATATGAACATATTTATACAAATAGAAATAATGAATGATCTCATGGATATTATTCAATTGATGGTTAAGCTTATAAATGCAGGACTTTAAAGTTTAATTCTTTAATTATCTTGAGAAACTTAGTAAATTACAAAACCTTAAGTAGCCTGGCAGATTAACCACAAAATGGTCATATGCAGCTAGAAAAGGCAAGCCAGAGTTGACAATGCTTATTTTTCCCAGGACCAGGTTATCAGAGGATACTTTGTGTACTCTTTTGCTCTGGTGGCCTCTTTCACAATACTCTTAATAAATACTGAAATGCTGCCTACTTTCTTTTCTTCTGTTTTTGTTGTCATTGTTTTCTGTTTGTTTTGCTTGGTTTTTCAAGACAGTGTTTCTCAGTGTAACCCTGGCTGTCCTGGACCTCCCACTGTAGACGTTAGCCTCCCAAGTGCTGGGATCAAAGGCGTGCACCACCACACCCAGCAACTACCTACTTTCAGTGTGCTTAAAAGTGTTCTTTTCTTTCAAACAGTTGTGTTCCATCTTGGCAATTCCAATCCATTGTCTCTGAATTTACAAATATTTTAGATGTACTTCTTTTGGTGCTCTCTTATACATTAGGCTGTATGTATTTATATAACCATCTAACTCTACTCACCTAGTAGAGTTTTTTGTCTTACTCTTTTTATTATCTGCCTTTCTAAATTGGCTGGTTATGCCAACTTCTTTGTGCCTTGTTCCATTAGTTAAGTGAATTGCTAAATTGTAATGGGTTTTATTATGTTTTATGAAGTGAATTGCTAAATTTTAAAGGATTTTATGATTTTTTACATTTATATACAATTGTGCAATTTGTACATAAGCATGCATATAAGTAGGCTTAAATATTAGCAGGCATTCTACCTATAAATTTAGTGAATAAATACTAAATCTATGAATTTTACTTTTCTATTAATTTTATCTATGTGACATCATCTTTAATAAAGATAATAAGTGTACATTATTAGGGGGCACTGTGTTCAGTACATGTATACATTCCATCAAGTTTAAGCCAGGAAAAGGATTCAGTTATTTTATTACGAGTTTCTGACTTAAAACAACTCAAATGCCTTTTAATTTAATGACAGTGTTATAAAATCTATGTACGCAGAAATTTCTGTACTGCCTGCAACTCCCAAATAAATACACTGAAGCTTGTATTAATTATAAACGCTTAGCTGATAGCTCAGGCTTATTACTAACTAGCTCTGATAAATTAACCAATGCACATCTAAACATTGTACATGTATAAGAAAAAAATGCATAGTGTAGGATTTGAAGTGGTAGACACTCAAAATCTTTTAAATTCCTAAATTAAATCACTGTATCATTTTTCTTCTTAATTGCAAAATCACGATGTTCTACACAGGCTTTTCTAACCCATTAAATTTTTATTTTTGTATTTATTTAAACCTCCACTGTGTAGGACAAAATATATTTCTGTGGCTGCATTTTATAAACCTTCAGAATAGAGTTATTGTTATATTTAAAACATATTTTTCTAGTGACAAAGGAATACAATTTAATCCTGAGATAGCTTTTGAAATAATATTTGGCTGCTTCCTTTCATGCTGCCTTACTGGTTTGGTAAACTTCACGTCATACATATAAAGAGTCATTTCTTCAAGTTATAACTGATTCAAAAAAATTCAAAAAATAAAAGATTATTATATCCTGTTTGTAGTATTTTCTTTATTTAAATAGTTATATTTCAAACAAATTGTATGTCATTTGGAATTATATAACTGCTAAGATATACTAGCACACACAATTTAAACATTGGTTAGTATTTCCTAACAAAACAAATGTGCAGTAAATAATACCTAAGAAAACTTTTGAATAGGTTTCCTACATACTTGTTCCAATTTCTTATGAAGTATGTCCTAACTTGTATGCAATTTAATGGATGGCTTATTTCTTTTTAAAGTGAAGTTATTTCATGTAAGAATGTTCAAAACGCTGTTGGTTCTTTCTACTAGAATTTATTTTGTTGATGCTTTTCTCAAAATAAGCATTCAGTTTTGATTGTTTTTAATAACTGATCACTGAAGTCATAAGATCCACTACCTCATTCTAAAACTGTCATAAAAATCTTTATTAAAAGGTTGTTTATAATACCCAGCAAAGCATATAGGAATAAATTTACGGTATTTCATTTTCCTATATGTCACCATGGTTGGAGAAGAGGGACAATATTTTTTTAATTAGGCTGAATTTGTGCTTTTAATAGCTATTAAAATTGGGAACTGAAAAATTTAATGCTATTATGAATAGATTGATATATGAAAATATCAGTGATCATCTTCATAATTCAAACAGGCAATTTACATGTCTTTCTGAAGCAGACAAGGAAGATGATTTTATAGGAGGCTGTTTAGATACTACACTTTATACACACATGTAATATAATTGGATATTTACTTTTTGGTAAACTATAATACTCAGTGTTTTCAGAAAGTGGAGACTATGAAATCTCACTTCTTTTGCTGTGGGCCTGCTGCTCATGTGAGTTCATTCTGACATTGAAGATGCCAACTATAATTCATGAACTGTTCTAGAAATAACATGTGGATAAATAAGTGCATATTTAGTTTCATATTCAGATATATGTAACATTACACGTCCAGAACAGTAGGATGAACTGTTACTTCACCCTCACACACATGTTCTTCTCACTCAGAGATGTGATTACTCTGGAAAGGGTCCTGCATTGTGTGCATGGAGAGCTTTCCTCCCGTGTCACTATATTACAGTACCCTAATAACATCAATTCCATGATCAGTCACATGGTCCTATTCAGATCAGACTTTGGATAGTTTCCAAATATTTCTGTGAGGCAAGATGTGGAAATATTGGCTAAAATGGTGGCAAATGTGTTTTCAATTTTAAAAACATCTATGATTATCATATGGAAATTAATCTTTTATGACCAGAATTAGATATGGCTCATTACAGACAATGTTAGTTTTTATTTGTGCCTTTAAAATGCAAAACAGATAAACAAATTAAAGTTACATAGTTCATTTTATGGGTTAATATTTATTGATGTGCTTTTTGGTCATTCTTTAAAGTTCTGAGAGTGAGCAGATAATTTTCTATTGCTGTGATAAAATTACTTACAGAAGAAAAGGTTTATTTAAACTTATATAAAATAGAATCTACCTTTTACCTGCATATTTATGTTTTAACTTTAAACTTTGGAGCAATATAGCACTGCAGGTTTTAGTTTTTGAAAATACCAAAACAACTGATTTTGTTTAGATGGTAAAAAATTATTTCATAACATTTGGCACTGAACTTTGTGCAACTGTTACAGAACTGATTGTGTATGAACCAAATCATGATTTATATATCATGCCCATTGCTGACTTTTCTATATCATTTTATTGCTATGGCTGAACTGTGCATTTATATTATGATACTATATTATCTGTTCACACCTTTAAGATTCTTTTAATATTTGGTATATTTAAATAACATATATGCCTATCATGTTTTACAAGACATTTCTGTTGATCTTTTTTATTTTTGCAGTGTGTTCACCCATATTTCAACTTACAAGAGTATTATACTTGTATTTTAAATTTGACTCATGACAAATTTATACATAAACACAGGGAGCGTTGAGCTCTTTGACAATAGGAATTATTATCTGAGAACGCTATGTGTTCTTTAGCAGCACTTAAAAGTTTTATTCAGTTCCATCACATGAAGTATTGCACTTGTTACTGAATGCTCCCCCTTCCCTGTTACATATTAGATAGTCTCTTCCCATTTGATTTTTCAGCTAGATGTTGTCCTCACCCACTTTGTGTAGAAATTCTTTGATGATGTCATGTGTGAAGTCTACACTCAATTATGTTTTATCCATTGATATCATTGTAAACTTGTCTAGTCTTCCACTATTTTTCTGATGTTATTTCATATCAGAAAAGTAATCCAGAAATATAAAAATGCTATGTAATTTCAACTCATCTCTGAAAAGCAATTCCTGAACAAAACCAACAAAATCAAAAATAAAACATAGAAATTCAAAGAAATTTGGTATTATTATTAATTTATGCAAAATAAAGTTGATGAATTAAAACATGAAGATATATATTCTTCACATCACGAGCTATATTAAGGTGGTAGACAATTATCATTCCCTAATTGGTCAACTTATAGCATTAACAGTCTTCAATATGAATGTTTGTATAAGCAACAATCCTTGGACTACACTACTTGTTTGAAATGGTATTATTGGTACTTTTCTAGGGAATTTCTTTACTATAATAGTCTTTTGTTACTTATACAATGTTGTCATTCCCACTAAGCCATTAATGTTTAATATATATAGTGTCCAATCACCATAAATTGGGACAACAAAATTCTCTTACCCAAACCCATTTCTTAATTGTTACATTACCATTCGCTAGAAGCTTACATTGCCACCTTTCAAACAATGAAACAAGATAACAGATTACTACTAATATATATTAGCACTTGTACTTTTAAAATAAAAGTATAAGAAAATATGATAACATGAGTGTACTATATTAAATAAAGATGAATAGGGCATTTCATTTAATGAGAGTCAAAGCAATATGACAAGGTCAATATCAACTTATGGAGTTAAGACATAACATAACAGATTTGGGGTTTACTTCAATTTTGAAGCAGAGTATTGCTATGTAGCCAATGATGTATGACAAATTTCATGATCCTTTTGCCTCAGTCTTTCTGGGATAGGGTTAAGTCAGAATCCTGAGGCAGAAGGATTATGTGCATATATGATATATGACATTATAATCCATGTGGAATTGAAGAAATATATAAAATATATTTATCGACATATTTGCCATTAACTTAGAAATTCATGGTGGATGCTACCACTATAAAATCTTGCTAATATTTGTGTTTCTACAAGTAGTAAAGCATTTGTTATTGAGAAAGCTATGTGTACAGGTCTTCTGCATTCGTATTAAAAATGAAACTAATTTAAATTTATTTCAGTATTTCCTACAGTTCTTACAATTCTTATTCCTAGTTATCATTGCTGATAAATTACAACAGTAATTATTTTTCTGAGATAAGAAAGAACTGCTTAGAATAGTGACTGCTTAGGAATTCAGATAATGTTCAAATAGATCATAAAAGAGAAGAAGATTAAGAAAATGAATTGTTCCAGCTACACGGTCTATGATAATCCCCATATCCACAATATTATCAGAATGTATGCATTTCTCACATGTTGAGTTTACAACCATATCATTGAAGAATAAAGTGAATTTCATGTCTTCTAGTAAATAGATTCCTAGTTTTATTTGTAGTAATTGTTTTAACACAGTAAAATAAAAGTAATTTGGGAATAGTGATATAGATCAAAAACCCTCTCATACTCACAGATTCGATTACTGCTCTTAATAGTTCAGTAAGCAGGAAGACAATATTGCAAAGTCTTCTTCATTCAAGCATTACTGGAAGCTACAATGTCCAAAGGGAAAGGATATGTTAAAGGAACCTGAGGATAAGTTTATTCATTTTATGCTTAATATTAAAGTTTTTTCATTTGGAATAACATTTGATTCACTTCATATAAGAATGTAAGGAGACTTTTATATTTTCAGAACTGAAAGATATTCTGAAACATCTGTTAACATCACCTTTTACATATGTAAGATTGCCATGAGTCATTCTCCTGAAGGGTGAATTATATGACATGGTGATTTCTAACAATTTTTCCTGTGCTATAAGTATAGACATTTGACCCCCCAAAATTAAATTTTCTTTAATAAAAGGAACTCAAAGTTGGCCAGCAAAATATACAATCCCTCTCTAAAATCTACCCATAATAGTTTAGATTTCAAAAGACTATAAAATGCATAAATACTGTATTTCATGAGGAATTTCAATGTGACTTTGTATAAAGCTACCATTCATTATAATTGTAATTTATCACTGAAAAACAGGGTAGACAGTGCCCTTTGATAAATTTCTAGGTCACACTGAGCCATGAGTCTTTCTGAGATAATTCCCAAACCTGTTTCCACAACAGAATGACAAACAGTGCCTGTTAAAAACATGGATTACTAGATTTCACCTTGGAGAATTTGAATATGGGAGGCATCCAGATTACAACGTTAACTTTTCAAGGTTGGGCTGCTGCCCAAATGACTGTGAAGCTGAAGTATTAAAAGTGTGGTTGATTAATTTCAGCAGAGCTGGTAACTAAAGGATTCACCAAGGTGCCATGAAAGAATGTAGGGAGCCACCATTACCATGGTGACTCATTAACCAGGAAAAACCCAAGTCTGTAAAGTCCTAAGACAGAGGTGAACTGGAAGCAAAAACTTGATAGGTCTTCTCTGGAGACTGCAACTGGCCAAGGTTAAAGACTTTAGTGTCATATTTTAAACAGTGCTTAGTGCAAGGTGGAAATAATAGAAAAGACAAGGATTTTGGAAGAATTGCTGATGTCATATAAGTTCTGGAGGTGTAGTACATACCCACTACACTCTCCATAAATATGCTACTGGAAGTTACATATTAAAACTTTAAACTTTGCAAAAATGATATTTTTATTGGCTCAAATTAAATACAATTTATTTTACCTAATGATTAAAACAGGTCTTTTTCAACAAGGCACACAGAATCATATCAAATATGGGCTCCAGCTTTTGTTATTTTGGTGGGCTCAGGAATTTTAGTATTTAGGCCACAATTATTGGCACAGTTTGGATGATTTAATTGGCATGACCTTGCTAGAGGAAGAATGTCACTGGAACCAAGCTTTAAGGTTTAAAAGGCACATTCTGTTCTCAGTTCAATGTCTGATTCCTATTGGGTTTCAAGACAGGAGTTCTTAACTTGCTGTATCTTCAGCTGCCATATCATCTCCAGTTCTCCAGTTTCCATATATCTAGTTCTTCAATTGCCATATCTCCATGCTGCCATGCTTCGCCACCATGGTGCTGATGATGCCATTCCCTCTAGAACTTTAAGCCCATATATCTTTGGTAAGTTGCCTGGGTCATGATGTTTTGCCCCAGCTATAGTAACCAAGACAGAATTCTTTACTTAGAATTCTTATGGCTGTGATGTAGTAATACGACTCTGTGGGGATTCAGTCGGACCCAGCCAGCTTGCCTGGTTCGTACCTGAGAGGGGAAGTGTGGAATGAGAAATGGCAGGTAAAGATATGAAGTAAGAGATAGAGACACTGAATCGAGTCAGGGGGGCAATCCAGTGAATACTGAATCCACCAAATGTATTCAGCATTCTTATATACTACAACAAAAAAGGGGGAAATGGCAAAAGACTTCTTTATCCTGATACAAGGAAGAAACGGGCTCTCTTCCTTAATTCTCCAAACATTTGGTAACCACACCTTAGACTAAATCTATTATTTCTGGCCTTGAGGGTTAAAAGTAACCACACCTTAGACCAAGTCTCTTGTTACGTAGATAAGACATCCACAACCGAGACCAAACATCCTACAGTAGCCATGTCTTATACCTTTAGGTCTTATGACTTTACCCTTGGAAGAGTAAGGATAGTTTTGAACTCTCTGACCTTAAGCCAAAAGGAAGCGAAGCCACTTTTATGGGCTCAAGCCCTGTGACATACCACATCATCCTGGGTTTTACAGAAATATGCAAGGTTTTGGAAACTTGGATGAGAAAAATGACTGAATGTAGGAGGAGAAGCTTGATATACCATCCTAGTAGGAGTTTAGAAGACAGTGGTGCTGAGAGCTATGTAGACTACAGAGACCTCAAAGGTTTCAGAGGAGGTGGAAATATGTTTCCAGTGACATTTTAGCAAAGCATGTGGCTTCTTTCTGACCTTGACCTAAGAACTTGCCTGTGGCTAAACTTAATAGTAATGGACTAATATTTTGGGCAGAGTAGATTTCAAAACAGTTCAATATTGATTCTCCTCAATCTATAGCAGAAATTACTTTTATTCAGATATATAATGGAAAGTAACAAGTGATACAGAAAGAAACATAAAATTTGTGATTTTAAAAGAAAAAAATGATCAAAGAGATTAAGCAGAAGGCCAGTGTACACTAAAATAACAGGAAGTGTGCCATCTGGACAAGACTTCACCCAGCTAAATTTTTCTCCTTTTGAAAGGAAACGTCCTAAGATATTATCTGCTCCTGGAAAGGAACAACAAACAAAAGATGCTGCAAATGTTATTTCAGGGAGCCAGAGCCTACTTCATGCTAGCAGCCAAACTCAGAAGTGTTGTTCACATGCTGTTGGTCCTTGACTTCATGTAGGATACATAAGGACTTGAGTTGTAGAATCTACCTTTATGGTTTTAGAGACCTGCTTAATCAGACATGTGGAAGTAGAGTTCCTGAGGTGTAAGGTGGTGGGTTAGTGTGGGGTCAGAGGCTATTCCATGAAGCTTTGAAAGTGAAGTCTGGCATACTTTGAAGCCCTGAGACATTTCATATGAGAAAGCTGTGGGATATCTAGTAAGACATTGTGGACTAGAGTGCTGAGTTCGAAGGGTGTAGCCTTCTAAACTTTTGACATTGGACATAGAGTTATAGGATTTTATGTTTGTCCTGATGAGTTTCAGTCTTTCTTTGGTCTAGCATTTCCTCCCTATGCACGTATTACTCTGTTTTGGAATGGTGATATATATTCTGTGCCCTTGTATGTTGGAAGTATGCAACCTGCTTTTATCCTTTTAGAGGGGTTAAAGTTAAGGTTTGCCTGGAGTCTCAGTGGAGACTTTGAACTCTCAGTGTTAAGGCTGGAAAAGATTATTTGAATTTTTGAAGCTGAAATAAAAGCATTTGCATTATGGTAAAGTCACAAGATTAAAGGGGTGGGGCACAGAATGGAACGCTGTGGTTTTAAAGAGATAACCCCCTATAGACTCAGGCATATGAAAAGTTGGTCCCCCGTTGGCAGTACTATTAAAGTCATCTAAAAGATGTGACCATGCTGAGAGAACTGTCACTTGAGTTAGGCTTTGAGGTTTCAAAAGACATAGACCTTTCCCAGATTCCTTTCTCTGATTCCTGTTTGTATTTCCAGATGTGAGCTCTCAGTTTGTTGCTTCACCCTCTGTGCTTTCTTGCTGTCATACATCCCTGGCATTATGGTAGACTCTTATATCACTGAAACTTAATGAATAGATAAAATCTTTCTTCTCTAAGTTGCTTTGGTCATAGTATTTTACCGTGGTAGTGGAAATAACTAAGACAGTTATATACATAGTATCATTGAATTATTTGACTTTCTATGTCTAATTTTTTAAATTGGAAAACTGAAATTACTAAATTATGTGACTCATTTTGATGTCCTAAAAGATAACATATGTATGTTGATAATAGTCATTATTTGACATAGAATAGGTAAGCATCCATTTTTGGCAGTGGTTATTAATATGTCAATTATTATGTCACTATGGCAACAGTAAAGAGAAACATCATTGTATTTATGTCTATAGAAATGTGAATGCCCATAGAGTGAAAAGTAGACTTTGTTTTGCTTTCTTCATTTTTGTTATTGTTCTTGTATCTATGTGTGTGTGTATTCAGGTGTATACATGCTTGTGTACATATATTTAGGTGAACATGTATGTGAATGTGCAGGTGTGCACAATGAGAAATCCAGTTATTTACATCAAGAGTCTTCCTAGATGACTCTCTACCTTACTTATTGAGTCAGAATCTTTGTATTGAACACAAAACACATGAATTCAACTAGTCAGGCTGGTCCACTTGTTCCACTTATTCCGTCTCTACCTAAAGAGCTCTGAGGTTCTAAGTAAGATATCACAGATACCTATATTTCAAATGTATACAGGAAATGCAAACTCCAGTTAGGTCCTCATGCTGGTGTGGCCAACACTTTAGCCACAGAGATATCTCACAAGTTGCTGTAGTAGACAAGTAAAACTACCATATATTTCAGGATAGGCCAAACATTTTCCCAGTAAGACTGACATGCATAACTTACGTCATAAGGTTGAGTTTTTAAAACTTACATGCCATTGAAGGTAACTTTTCCAATACTATTTAAACATAACTCTATGAAGATACATGAAAACAAAATCACAAATTATTCAAATTCTACATTTATCTTGAATTAAAATCATCAAGTTCTCAAGTACTGTGACACCTGCATTTTATATACATATGAACTAGTCAAAAATGTCAATGCTGAAGATATGAACTAGAGAAATTGGGTACTTCTTAGTAGAATGAGACCTACATACTTTAAAAAAAGAAAGACATTTATGTAATTATTTACTGAGAATTTGCTATTTCATTATTAAAACTACTTAATGGAAATATTCAGTAAATCAGTTATGCTGGCTAGTCTTCTGTCAACTTGACACAAGCTAGAGTTATCTGTAAGGAGGGAACCTTAATTGAGAAAACAGCTCCAGAAGATCCAGTTGTAAGGTATTTTCTTAGTGATTGATGGGGGAAGGCCTAGCACATGGTGGGTGAATTTATCCATGGGCAGGTGGTACTTTCTTTTTCTATAAGAAACAGGGTGAGCAGGTCACCAAACAGTTCCGCTCCACAGCCTCTGCATCAGCTCCTCTCCACAGGTTCCTGCCATACTTAGTATCCTGTCCTGGCTTCCTTCAACGATGAACAGCATTGTGGAAGTGTAAGCCAAAGCAAGCCTTTCCTCATCAAGTTTCTTGGTCGTGATGGTGCATCACAGCAATAGTACCCTAAAACAGTGGTTCAGTGTTGGGCACTTTGTTTGTTGATGTTTTATGACATATAACATTTTAGGATCTCTCTCTCTATATATGACAACTTTTTCTTTATATAAAGCACTGCTCCTGAATACATGGGGGAATAGAGAAACGGAATTTTAACAGAGAGAGAAAGTGAGAAGAAAAAGCCATCAAAAATGAAAAACTAATCTTGCAATATGTAGCATTAGCTTTGTGAGGAAATGTTCCAGGTGATTCCTTCAGAGGAATTATCAAAGAAGTGTGAGCTCTCATATTTGAATTGAAGGTTTCCTTTTCTGAGTTTTTGTATATTATGTTATTATCCCCTGGAATCTCAGCTTTATCCCTGGAATGCAAATGTGCTGCAGTAATCATATTCTCTGAATGAAGAGGACTCTGTCTACAACTGGGAAAATAAAAGTTAAGATAGAAGCTAAAGAGAATGGAATGACAAATGGCAAATCAATCACTCTGAAGCAGAAGCCAGTTGTGGCCTAGTACATAGACTGTTCTACACTTATATAAAGTACTGCAGACAGTCTTTCATTGTATGCAGATTTATACTTGCCTTCTAGAAACACAGAAATTATAAAGATTTAGTCTGAATTTAGTTCCACTTCTCAGAATGCTATTTGTGCTGCAAACAAACAAACCAGCAAAAATATATAACATAAGTTATCTGGTTTCTTTTGCTGCATGAAAAATTAATAAGAATATAAGGCTTTAGTCTTTAGTGTTGGTTGCATTTAATATTTAGACGCTGGAGTTTAAAACCTGTCCATATATTGCTTTCTAAAAAGTTATTTGTTTGAAACATGAAATATAAGCAAAATGTACTACCACTTAAAAAGCTTTCAAAAATTCCATTTTGTTGCTTGAATTGTTTCTGTGAACATTGTGTCAGTCACTACAAGATTCTGAAAAATATAATTTTCGTGACTATCTGATATTAATAAACAGAATTGGCACTAAGAACTTGAAAAAATGAGAATGCAGAAAAATATCTATTAGTATGACAAATACAAAAAAGAAAAAGGACAACTCTAACATAACTAAATTTAAAGGAAAAAATAGAATATTCTGATAATTTACTAACCATGGGAAACATGTTTTGCCTTGCCTTACAATATTTGAATGTTTCAAGCAGTTTTATTTGGATAACAAAAGGAAACATATTCAAGCCTACTGCAAAAGATGAAAGTAGTCAGACAAAATCGGTTATTGAAAAATTAAAAGTTTAAGAAGAAACAAGCAGCCAAGCATATGGGTAACACCTTTGTTCCCAGCACTAGCACCTGAGACACAGAGACAGGAACATCTATATGAATTTGCTAACAGAATGGTCTGCAGAGTGAGTTCTACACCAACAAGAATGCATAGTGAGATTCTGTCTCAGACAATAATAAGATAATAAAAGAAACAGAAGTAGAAGGAGAGGGAAAAGGTGAAGAAGAAGAAGAAGAAG